CTCTCTCACAGAGCCTACCCCTATCTGGAACCGAGCACCAACCGCTACAAGAAGCTACAGAAGGTGTATAGCGATTCCATCGTGCTCACCTGTGACTGCATCAACGGCGAGAAATACACACTCACCTTCGTGGACGCCTACTCATGCCACGTTTGAATCGCCAACGTTGACGCTCGCTCCAAGGCTCCAGAGGTCTTCCGCATCTAGCTCGCACATGCGCAACGACAATCGGGAAGGAAGCTTAAAATCTGGCCGACGGATGGCACTAAGGAGTTCCGCAGCAACGAACTGGAGAGTGTTGTTACGGAGAAAGGGATCAAGCCCCAAATTTCGCTCCCCTACACTCACCAGCAGCAAGCCGTCGCAGAGAGGGTTAATCACACCCTCATGACAAAAGTGCGCGCCCTCATGAACCAATCCGGCCTACCCAAGAAGTACTGGCCCCATGCCATGAACCATGCGGCGCGTCTACACAACCTCCTCTCCACCACGGCCAACCGGGACAACCTTTCCCCACACATGAAGCAGACCGGCTCAAGGGGAGATTTCTCCATGCTGGGGGTTTGGAGGTGCATGGTGCACTATCGGGCGACTTCAATCACAATCGGCAATTTCACTCACTGCGCGCGCTGGGGAGTCCACCTGGGGCTCAGTAACGAGTTCAAGGGTTGGCTCATTCTCGATGGTGGGATCGGCCAGCATGGAGGGATCTCCCCTTGAGCTGGTCCACTTCATGTGCGGGGAAAGGTTGCCCCTGTTGGCCGTGGTGGATAGGAGGTTGTGCAGGCGCACCACGTGGTTAATGGCGTAGGGCCAATACTTCTTAGGTAGGCTGGACTTGTTCATGAGGGCGCGCACTTTCGTCTTGAGGGTGCGGTTAACCCTTTTTGCGACGCCTTGCTGCTGAAGAGCATAGGGGAGCAAAATCTCATACCTAATCCCCTTCTCCGCGAGGACACTCTCCAGCTCATTGCTGCGAAACTATGCTGCCCCGTCGCTCTACCAAATTTTCAGCTTCCTCCCCGATTGCCGTTGCGCGAGTGCGAGCCAGATGCGGAAGAATTCTGGAGCAGCGAGCGTCGACGTTGGCGATCCAGACATGGCGTGAGTAGGCGTCAATGAAGGTGAGCGTGTACTTTCACCTTTGATGCAGTCACAGGTGACCACGATGAAGTCGCTGTACACCTTCTGCAGCTTCTTGTAGCGGTTGGTGATTGGTTCCAGAGAGGGGTAGGCGCTGTGAGAGAGAGCAGCTATGGGGCAGACAGTGCATATGGTGGGATGTGGAGTGTTGTGCGGTTCCGTCCCGTCAGGGCGCAGCAGTGCCCCTGGGGGGAAAACCTTGGCACATAGGCTGTTGTTGAGTGTCTGGCGCGAGGGGTGGCCGAGTCGCTGGTGCCAAAGATCGTCTTCGGCGCGGATGCCGGAGGTGCGCATGTAGTGAGAATGATGTTCCGCTGCTTCCACCTCTGATTCTTGCGGGATTTGGAGTGGGGGTTCTGTTAACAGGAGTGGAGTGTTGGCCCTACCCTCGCTTGGGCAACGCCGACGACTTGGTCGGATGTACGGGAGTAGCAGCTGACCGTACACAGTGGGAGAGCTGCTCGACAAGCATCGTCGAGCTACAGGGGACCGCTGTGGTGTTGCTGTCGACCAGGGAGCTCGACAGCTACAACTGACTGGTCTGGGCAACGGGTGGGTCGTTGCCAGGAGGGGCAGTTCGACCGGGAGGCCTCCGTCGGCCTGCAGCTCGACCGGGAGGTCTCATTCGACCTGCAGCTCGACCAGGGGGTCTCCGTCGACCTGCAGCTCGACCGGGAGCAGTCCGTTGATCTGCATCTCGACTGGAAGCAGTCTATCGACCTGCAGTTCGACCAAGAGGTCGAAGGAGCAGTCCGTCGACCTGACAAGTGAGCAGCGGTCGACGAGGGGAGCTCGGCGATAACCGCTGACGGTTCTGGTCGACGGAAGGGGTCCGACGACCAGGGGGTAGCTCGACGGGCGTTGTGGTCGACCAGAGGCACCTGGTGGTCAACCAGAGGGACCTGGTGGTCGACCAGAAGCAATGGTGGTCGACCGGAAGCACCTGGTGGTCGACCGGGTCGACCGGGTAACCTGCTCGACGAGTTCTGTGGAGGCACGCGAACGTCGTCAATGCCGCAATGGCGCAGGCGACTTCGAGCTGCTATCCCGAAGTCGATGTGGCTCGTTAGGCATAGAAAGCAGCCGACGGATGCCCAACGAGGCAAGTCGAGCCAATCGTCTGCGCGCACCTGCGAGCATGCGCACTGCTGTGTTCTACGGGGCAACGCTGGACAGCCGCTCTGCTGCAGCGTTGGCACGACGTCGACCTGCTCTGTTGGCAGGTGCTGGCGCGGCTCCTCTACGCAACGGTGTGCCGAGCTGTACTGGCGGTCAACCAAGCTAGCTGCAAGATTGCTAGGTGCCTGATATAGCCATTGTTGCAATCTCCTGTTCAATCATTCTGTAATTCCATCTTTGCCTAGTGAAACTCTTGCCGATTTCTCTCGTGTATGAGCGAACACTAAGGAACTAAGCAAAGCTACAATCACTCCTAGTAGTTTGTGCCAACCCCCGTAGTCTAGCTCACTACCATTATAGAGTGACTCTACTCAGGTTCTTCCTCCTCTCTTGCTTCTGCTTCGTTGTCCGGCTCCTCTGCTTTTGCCGCTTCTGCTGTCTCCCCTTCTGCAAGTGCCGCTGTGAGATACAGTGCAATGAATTCTCGCTCAAGGATGATGTTGAGGGGAGTCCTTGTTCCCTCGATAAAGCGGGCAAACGGGTCTACGCAGGAGATTGGACTGAGCGAGTCTCGCGGAGGAGTTGGTGGTGCGTTCCCCTCCTCAATCTCTGACCAGGTATTGTACCAGTCATGGGGTGAGCGTGGAGGTGAGTGATTGTGCAGGGGACGTCCGAGTCAGAATAACAAAGTGCCTTGGTGAAGATATCAGCAGTGTTGGCTTGAGAGGCCACGTAAACAAGACGAAGTTGACCACGATGCTGCAACTCTCGAGCAAGGAAGTAGCGCAGAACGACGTGCTTCGTCCTGTGCTCCAGTCTGTGCTCCTGACACAAGGCAATCATGGCCTTGTTGTCGACGTACAGAACTGGAGGAGAACGAGGCGCCTCTCCCAAGTCGGTCAGCAGGTAGGTGAGCCAACGTAACTCCTGTGCAGCCATGGCCCCTACATAGATCTCAGCCTCACAATTGGAGCTGAGAACAGAAGGCAAGCGGGTAGACCGCCACGAAACAAAACAGGAGCCAAGGCTGAAGGTGTAACCCTGTGATGACTGCTGCATAGCCAAGTCGTCAACCCAAGAACCATCTGCGTGACCAGTGAGGACAACTTGAGCCCGTCCTCCAAGCACGAGCCCCATGCCCGACGTACTGCACAAGTAGCGCGTCACCCTCTTAACGGCCTTCCACTGCTCTGGTCGGTGTCTCCCGGGCGCAACGTAGCGTGCCAGGATGCTAAGAGGGTAAGCAAGGTCAGGTCGAGTGCAGGTCATCAGGTACATGAGGCAGCCTACAAGCTCTGGATACGGGCCACTCGGCTCTACGAACTCGTTCGAAGGTGGAGCTGAGAGCGAGTGACCGGTAGGTAGAGGAGTGGACTGTGGCGAGGAGTACTGGAAGTCGAAGCGCTGAAGGACCTGCTGTACCATGTGTGATTGAGTCAAAGTAATAATGCGCTATGCTCTGTCACGGGTGATCTACAAGCCAAGATAGCTGCGCAGCTCACCCAGGTCTGTGCACGTGTGTCTCTTCTGCAGCTCCGACTTCACGTGGGCCTGTCCAGCAGTTTCAGTAGTGGCAAAGACCAAGTCGTCAACATACACGAGGATGTAGAACGGCGGCAGGGAAGTGTCGCTGCGTAGAAACAGCAACGGGTCAGCAGTAGAAGGAGCAAACCAAGAGCCGCAAGTGTCGTCCTCAGTGTGTCGTGCCACTCGCGAGGCGCCTGGCGAAGACCGTAGACTGGCCGTCGGAAGCTCCATTGGGTACCTGCAGGAAACGACCCAGTGAAGCCAGGAGGGCGGCGCAGCCAGATCTCCTCGTGCAGGGTGCCCTGTAAGAAAGCAGTGCTGAAGTCAAGAGAGTGAAGCTCGTAGTCACGCTGAGCGGCGACGTGCAGCAGCACCCGAAGAGTGGTCATCTTCTGGGTAGGGGAGAAGGTCTGAAAGAAGTCAACTCTCCGTCGCTGAGTGAAGCCTCGTGCAACGTAACGCGCCTTGAAGATAGGCGGAGAACCCAGCGGCCGCTTCACCTTGAAAATCCACATGCCGCTGACGATGTTCGCCCCAGGTGAGGGAACCTCGTCGACGTAAGTGCCTGTGGACTTCCAGGATGCCATCTCTGCGTCCATGGCTGACTGCCACTGAGAGGAGTAGGGACCCGTAATCGCCTCTGCGTAAGAGCGCGGGGTCGGGATGTCTGGTGCATCCGGGTCTCCCTCAGGAGCAATCAGCATGGACACGAGATGAGGTACAGCAGCTGCAAAACATTCAAAGTCCTCCTGCGTGTCCTCAAGGACGTCCGTGCCAAAAGCACACTCACCCTCGACGGACGGAGGACAGACAGACTCTGACTCAGCAACAAGGCTAGCGCTGTAGTCTAGACGACAGGCGGCAGCAAAGTCAACCAGCTCAGCAACAAAAGCAGACGCAGCAGTAGACTCAAACAAAGGGTCTGTGTCAACAGTGGCCACGAGACGCGCGACAGTAGGACTAGCAACACGAAGGGAGTCAAAGTCCGGGTCCGGACCGTCAGCAAGGGAGGACGCAGGAGGAGACGGCAAAGGGACACGCAGTGGAACAGAGGAAGGACGAAGTGCCATCTGGTGCGTGCCGGGGACAGGAGGAGGACACTAACGCGGAACACGACAACCAGTGCGAACAGCGAGAACAGGCGACGCAGGACGAGACGCATGTCAAACTCATATACTATAGTCAGTGTAGGCTATAGTGGGGTAGCTTATATGGGGTACAACACTTCAGGGTTTGGTACTTGTACTCCTCATGCTGCTCAGTGAAATCATTCCTCGTTTCCTTTTCACATGGTTTCAGAGCAGGTTCCCTAGTGGGAACGCTTTGTAGGGCCCACCTCGAAATTTTTTTTCCTGCCCGTAGCGCGCTTCGCTCCTGCCCGCGTCGCGCCCGGCGTGCCCTCCCTACCGTCGCGCTGCCCTTAGCGGCCCCTCTCACGACCCCTTAAGCCGCCCTCACGGCCCCGCGCGCCGCCCTTGCGGCCCCTAGCGCCACCCGTCGGCCCCTCGCGCCGCCGGTCGACCGCACGCGCCGCCCTTGCGGCCCCTTGCGCCGCTCGTCGGTCCCGCGCGCCGCCCTTGCGGCCCCTCGCGCCGCCCGTCGGCCCCGCGCGCAGCCCTTGCGGCCCCTTGCGCCGCCTGTCCGCCCCGCGCGCCGACCTTGCGGCCCCTCGCGCCGCCTGTCGGCCCCTCGCGCGGCCCTTCCGGCCCCTTACGGCCCCTCGCGCGGCCCCCTACGGCCCCTTCGAGGCCCGCCGTCGCCGCCTCCAGCAGTAGCCGCCGCCATCTCTGCAGCACCGGCCGCCACTGCCGTCCCTTCAGCAGCGGCCGCCGCCGTCTCTGCAGCAGTGGCCGCCGCCGCCGTCCCTACAGCAGCAGCCGCGGCCGTCCCTGGAGCAGCGGCCGCCGTCGCCGTCCCTGCAGCAGCGGCCGCCGCCGCCGTCCCTGCGGCAGCGGCCACCGCCGCCGTCCTTGAAGCAGCGGCCGACGTCGCCGCCTCCTAGAGCGACCCGCCGACGCCGCCTCCTGCAGCGGCGACCACCGCTGTCCCTGCAGCACCAGCCGCCAGTGTACCTGCAGCAGCAGCGCCGCCCGAGCCGCCGAGCCGCCCGAGCCGCCCGAGCCGCCCGAGCTGCCGAGCCGCCCGAACCGCAGGAGCCGCCGAGTCGCCGAGCCGCCGAGCTGCTGTTGCTGCCGAGCTGCCGAGCCGCCGAGCCGTCCGAGCCGCCCTGTCCGCTACACCCGGTCACTGCCGTCGCGGCCCTGTTCCTACCGGCAAGCCTCGGTCCTTCCCGCCTGCCCGGTAAGAGCAGCACCTCTACCACTGCGCTGCCCTTAGCCTGCTGCTCGCGCTTCTAGTCTACTGCTGTCATGGCTACCCCCAGTGTCCTCGCTTTTGACGCTGAGGGTCGGGCCATTGACTTTGACGTCTGGGTAGATGACATGCAGCTTTTCCTACAGTGCGATAGGGCACACGGTCTCTCCCTCTTTGACCTCGCTTCTAGTGCCTCTCCTGCCCCTACTGCTGATGCTGACGCCACTGTTTGCTCACAGTGGGCCACACACAATGCTGCTGCACGTCTTGCTGTGCGTCGCCACTTGCCTACCTCTGAGCGTGCACACTTTAGCCAGTACAAGAGTGCTAGGACCTTGTACGGCGCTGTAGTTGCACGCTACTCTTCCCCTGCCACTGCTGCACTTAGCCGCCTCATCCTGCCGTACCTCTTCCCTGACCTCGCAGCTTTTCCCACAGTCGCTGACCTCATTACGCACCTTCGCACTAGTGACATTCGCTACCGCGCTGCCCTTCCCGCTGAGTTCTGCGCCAAGAACCCGCCCCCTATCTACATCACCCTCTACTACATAGTCACCCTTCTCCCTGACACCCTTCGCCCGGTCAGGGACCACTTTCTCTCTGTTTGCCCCACCACCCTCAACGTTGACCTCCTCGAGGAGCGCCTCCTAGCAGCAAAGAAGAGCATAGTCGCTGTAGGAGCCTCTCGTGGTGACCCTCGTGCCCCTGTCTTTGAGGGGTGCTCCCCCTCTCCTCTCTTGCCCTCTATTGCCTCTGCTGCTGCGGCCGACCTCGTTGGTCTTGAGTCAGTCGGTGCGGCGTCTGCCCTTAGCGGGAGACGCCGCACTGGCAAGGGCAAGGGGGGCAGGGGCGCTGGAGGAGCTACCGGGGGCGGTGGAGGCTGAGAAAACTAGAATGATAAATGAATGAACTATGAAAGAGTTGGGTACAAGTACTAACCCTAATTGGGCTGTACCCCTTATGGGCTACCCCACTATAGCCTACACAAAATGCATAAGCTATGATGTTCTGACACACCCCCATAGGATAAGTGGGGGAGAACAAGGGGTTACACGACCAGACAAGCAAAGCAAAGCAAGCTCAGGGTGGATCACAAAGTCACCACACATTCCGAGCACAAGTTCAAGGCCACAAGGCCAGTTCATAAGCAGGATTACATATATATATAAAAGGCTAAACAAGCAAGAGCAGGTGCATATATATATGTAACACTACAAACAAGGTCAAGAGGTGAGCAAGTGAGGCAAGGCAGGCACAAGACCCAGCTGAGTACAGAAGCGCTGATGATCACAAGGCGCAAGCGCCTTGGTGAAGATATCAGCAGTGTTGGCCTCAGAGGCCACGTACGCAAGGCGCAGCTGACCACGCTGCTGCAGCTCACAAGCAAGAAAGTAGCGGAGAGCAATGTGCTTCGTTCTGTGCTCCAGTCGCTGCTCCCGACACAAGGCCAGCATGGCCTTGTTGTCTACGTACAGCACAGGAGGAGAACGAGGCGGCTCTCCGAGGTCAGTCAGCAGGTAGGTGAGCCAGCAAAGCTCCTGTGCAGCCATGGCTCCGGAGTAGATCTCAGCCTCACAACTGGAGCCGAGAACAGAAGACGAGCGAGTAGCCTGCCACGAAACAGAGCCGGAACCAAGGCTAAAGGTGTAACCCTGTGACGACCGCTGCGTAGCCTGGTCATCAGCCAAAGAAGCGTCTGCGTGCTCAGTGAGGACCACTGGACTCTGCCCTCCAAGCACAAGCCCTATGCCCGACGTACTGCACAAGTAGCGCAACACCCTCTTCGCTGCAGCCATGTGCTCTGGTCTGTGTCTCCCAGGAGCAACATAGCGTGCGAGAATGCTAAAGAGGGTATGCAAGGTCAGGTCGTGTGCAGGTCATCATGTACATGAGGCAGCCAACAAGCTCTGGGTACGGGCCACACGACTCTATAGACTCATCCGAAGGCAGAGCTGTGAGCGAGTGGCGAGTAGACAGAGGAGTGGCCTGAGGCGAGGAGTACGTGAAGCCGAAGCGCTGAAGGACCTGCTGCACCATGTGTGACTGAGTCAGGGTAATGGTGCGGCGTGCTCTGTCCCGGGTGATCTGCAAGCCAAGGTAGCTGCGTAGTTCACCCAGGTCAGTGCACGTGTGTCTCTTCTACAGCTCGGACTTCACGTGGGCGAGTCCAGCAGTGTCAGCTGTGGCAAAGACCAAGTCGTCGACGTACACGAGGATGTAGAACGGCGGCAAAGAAGTGTCGGTGCGCAGAAACAGCGACGGGTCGGCAGTAGAGGGAGCAAACCCAAGAGCCGCAAGTGTAGTCCTCAGTGTGTCGTGCCACTCACGCGGTGCATGGCGGAGACCATAGACTGGCCGCCGGAGGCTCCACTGGGTGCCAGGAGGAAAAGTCCCAGTGAAGCCAGGTGGGCGGTGCAGCCAGATCTCCTCGTGCAAGCTGCCCTGCGGGAAAGCAGTGCTGAAGTCAAGAGAGTGTAGCTCGTAGTCACGGTGAGCAGCTACGTGCAGCAGTACCCGAAGAGTGGTCATCTTCGGGGTGGGAGAGAAGGTCTGAAAGTAGTCAACTCCCTGCCCCTGACTGAAGCCACGAGCCACGTAACGCGCCTTGAAGATAGGCGGAGAACCCGGCGGCCGCTTCACCCTGAAAATCCACATGCCACTGACGATGTTCCCCCCAGGAGGGGGAACGGCGTCAACGTAGGTGCCTATGGACTTCCAGGAAGCCATCTCTGCGTCCATAGGTGCGTGCCACTAAGAGGAGTAGGGACCCTCTATAGCCTCCGCGTAAGAGCGCGGAGTCGGGATGTCAAGTTCATCCGGGTCTCCCTCAGGGGTAAGCAGTACGGACACGAGATGAGGTGAAGCAGCAGCCAAGCACTGGAACTCCTCCTGCCTGTCCTCAAGGACGTCCGTGCCAAGGGCACACTCACCCGCGACGGACGGAGGACAGACAGACTCAGACTCAGCAACGAGACTGGCGGCGTAGTCTAGACGACAGGGAGCAGCAAAGTTGACGAGCTCAGCAACTTGGGCAGACGCAGAAGTGGACTCAATGGAAGGGTCAGTGACAACAGTAGCAAGCAGACGCGTGACAATAGGACTGGCAGCACGAAGAGAGTCCGACTCCGGGTCGGCAAGAGCAGGAAGAGAGGACTCAGGAGGAGAAGGCAAAGGGGCACACAGAGGAGCAGTGGACGGACGCAGTTACATCCGGTGCGTGCCAGGGACAGGAGGAGGACGCTGACGCGAACCACGACCACTAGTGCGAGCAGCACGAACAGGCGACGCAGGGCAAGACGCAGGCTCACGACGCTCAGCAAGACCTCCAGTAGGACCAGTGTAGGGAGAAGGAGCAGGTACTGGGGAGGCGGGCTGTAACTGTAACTGTGACGGGACAGGCTGTGGACACCCTAAGGGAGTAGGAGGACCAGTAGAAGGCGGGAGACCAAGAACCTGCTGAAGGAGCGGAACGAAGTACGGCCGAGGCCGCGCGGCGACTCCAGACACAGCAGGGACAGCACCAGTACCCCCAGCGGTAGCACTAGCGCCTGCACCACCTCCAGCTCCAGGACCTCCAGCAGCACCAGTAGCACCCCCAGCAGCTCCAGGACCGACAACAGTAGCCTCAGCGCCAACACCCTCAGCAGCTTCAGCTCCAAAAGTACCCGCAGGCCTAGCAGCTCCAGTACTCCCAGTACGAGCACCTCAGGGACCCGCGGCACCAGCACCCTCAGCAGCCGAAGGACCTCCAGATCCAGCAGCACGCCTCCAGCGCCGTGCAAACCACTCGCGCAGCTCCTGTGGAGAGAGTGGCTCCCGCCGAGACGAAGCACCCGGAGAACCGCCAGGACAGCACCGCCAGACGCCAAACGAGCAGGCCCAGCTCCCTCAGGCTCCGCACCCCCAGGCTCAGCATCTCCAGGCGCAGAACCCCCAGGCTGAGCACCCCCAGGCTCAGCACCCCCAGACTCATCACCCCCAGGCTCAGCACCCCAAGGCTCAGCACCCCCAGTCGTAGTACCCTCAGTCTCAGCACCCCCTGGCGTAGCACCCACACGCTCAGCACCCCCAGAGTCAGCACCCCCAGGCACAGCACCCTCAGCAGCACCAGAGTCACCAGCGACCTCGACAGGCTCAACTGCGTCTACCTGGGACACACGTGAAGGGATAGGACCCTGAGGGGGAAGGGGGTCTACCGGGGGGGGACCTGGCACAAGGAAGAGCGGCGGTGGGGGGAGGGATGGAGTGCGGTAGGGGAAGAGACGGTAGTAGGGGACCAACTCGTCAAACGTGACGTCCTCGGAGGACAGAACACGGCGAGAGGTGGGGTGGTAGAACTGCCACCCTGGCGCGTCAGGGGGGAAGCCAAGGAAGACGCAGGGAGCAGCACGAGGGGACAGCTTGTCCGCAGACAAGTCGCGGACAAACGCCCGAGATCCCTAGACACGGAACACAGACGCATCGCCAACCTTCCCGTCCACAGCAAAGGTGGGGAAGTCTCCGGCCTGGAGACCCTGGGCTGAAGGTTGATCTGATGCACCGCGTACCGAACAGCAAACGGCCACAGAAAATGGGGGGCAGCCGCATGCATCATGGACGTACAGGCGACGTCCATGACCATGCCAATGCGGTGCTCAGCAATCCCATTTTGGTGTGGAGAGTCCGGAAGCGTGAAGGTCTGGCGGATGC